GATCAACAGATCATCAATCAATAATCAATGAATCTTTAGAGAACCACATGAGGAGTCTGCAGTCCTGCCGGACACAGGCCGCTCTTATTTTGAAGGATCACACAGTGCCGAGGTGATATGAGACCCCCCCAGACTGAACATCAGCCCCTCGTTGGCTTCACCAACATGTCTGTGAAAGAGATCAAGACGACGAGATCATCAATCTCTGAGCTCCTCGCCAGCGCCAGGGTTTCCCCGACAACCAGCCCCCGTCTCTCATCGTGTCCCCCACCCCCACCCCCTCATCCTCCCTCATCCTCCCCCTCTTCTCTCCACTCACTCCGGCCAAGTCTGATTTTCCTAAAACAAGGGAATCCCAGGCCAGATGTTGAGATGGGGGGGTGGGGGGTCCTTTGCATCATAACATCATAACTCACCTGTCAGAGAAAGTCGAGGGAGGACGACAAAGAAAAACAAAGAGAGAAACAGACTCACGACTCTGATCCCTGACCTACGAGTCCAGACCAGCTCACCCAGTCCAGAACCACGACCCACAGACACACCCACCAGTCCAGAGTCAGAGCAGCAGGTCACCATGTTTGAACTTACCAATAAATCCTGAGGAGAACCGTCCAATCAGCCGTCACCGGTCCTGGACCCACGGAGGTCTCAGATCCACTTTGAGCACAAAGACATGAGATGGATCCAGGACGTTACATAAGAGCAGGTCTTCAGGGATGAAGGTTCTGGACTCTGAAGGAGAGCTCTACACACAGAGCGGGAAAAGAGCTGAGCTGGATCCAGACCAGATGTGAGAGGAAAGAACAGGCCTGGTCCTGGTCCTGGTCCTGGTCCTGGTCCGGACCAGCGTCCTGTGAAACATTTATCACAACATCCGAACATAGAGGTCCAACCCTGAGGAAACATTTAACAAGTGAACCTCCATGGACTTGTAACTTCCTGTGTGTGTTTGCGTGTGTGTGTGTGTGTGTGTGTGTGTGTGTGTGTGTGTGTGTGGGGTGGGGGGTGGGGGGGTGGGGGGCTGAGCTGATGAGACAAACAGAGCTGAGTCCAAACCAGTGTTTTTCTTCATTCACTGTTTATGTTCTGACATCTTTCACTTGATTATTGATTGACAGTTTTAAATCAATTATTATTAGCTCAGTGAGAACCTGTGGAGGTGGTGAGGCTTTACAGAAGGTCAAAGGTCAGGACTTTCCAGGAATGAAAGAAAGCGGTGGACCAGGTGAGTGTTTCCAGGTGACGCTCTGACATCGCTGTCGTCCGCGGCAACGAGCCAATAGAAGTCAGTCAGCATCAGGTTGTGAGTCCTGGGCCCCATGTGAACTTCAGTCTGCTCTCAGAGTCAGAGACCAGGATCAGGTTAACAGCGCTCTGACTCAGGGAGTGTTTGTGTTTTTACTGAGCTGCTGCTTGTCCTGATCTCAGATCAGTTTACACCTGAAGACCTGCGGACAGGATAAGGGGGTCTCGGAGACCTCATGAGTCCTGATCCAGACATGAGACACACAGAAACATCAGAGAGAGAGACCTGGATTCTCCATAAAAACATCCACTGGTCCCACAGTCTGTGAAGCACCTGAAGGCCTCACGACCACCGTGTCATGTCAACAGTTCCAGGTCCAGATGAAATCCGCATCACAGATCTCAGACCCTAACCCCCCCCCCGTCCTTAGAGCCTGAACTGGACTTTTCTCAGAGTCAGGGATCTGGACTGATGCCCTGCTGACGTCTCTGAGCCGGATCAGTCCAGGACCATGGATGGATCAGAGTCCTGCAGAAGAACCAGAGACACAGTGGAGACCAGCTCGAGGCCAGAGTCCAGAGTCTGAGCAGAACCTGAGACCACCACTCACTCCTCCCACTGACTTGCCCACCCACCCTGCAGCCCCCACAGAATCCCCCACCCCCCAAACACACAAAGCTGCTACAGATTAAACTTTGAACCAGGACCAGAAATTGGACTGAGGTTCTCACAGAGAACCAGCAGCACTGTTGGGGGGTGGAGACCACCACCAGGGGTCACAAACCAAACCTGAGCCCAGACCATCACCTGGGACCAGTGGTCCCATTTCTCTTTAATGGAGCTTTGTGGTTCCCAGTGGGAGTGTTCATGTGTCATGTGTTCATGTTACATAAGCGTGTTCCTGCAGCAGCAGGGTGAAGTTACAGCAGAGCTGGCATCAGCCCGACGCTGCGCGCTCTTATTCTGACAGCATTTCCTGCTCTTATTTTCTTTTTTCTCCTCTGTGGTGAATAAACCTTCACATTACTCCTCGCAGAGTCAAGAACTTGTCAGATTTTTCCCTCTTAACTGAAGTAATCCCCCGGTTGCCGCGGCGACGGTATATAAAGCCCATATCTTCACCCTGCGGTTTCAGAGCAGTGTCTGGAAAAGTGATGTAATCCCTCACATCACCGCCGCTGCTTCTAACTGGGACTGCGGTCAGAGTCATGACACCGGGGGGGGGGGGGGAATATGAGGATGGATGATCTAGTGTGTGTTGGGGGGGGGTTCCCCTGAACTGTTCTTCTGCGTCAGTTTCATGGCTCCACACACGTCGACAACAAACAATCACACTCTGGCTATTGATCAGACGATGAGCTGTGTTGTCATCCATACATCACATGACAGACGCACCTCTGGATTGACAGCTGTTTACTGCACCTTACTGCAGGTCCAGCGCCGCTCTGTGAATCAGCTCAGCTCAGGTGAAGTGATGTGAACACGTGTGGCTGAGTTAATGCTGCAGTGGGTAAACACTCATAAAACTACATGAGGCGAGTGATTGAGTTAACATGTGGTCCACAGCTGGCAGAGCCCAGCCACAGTGAGCCAGTTCAACCAGTCACCAGTGAATCTCACCTCGTGTGGTAGTGCAGCTCCTCACCACGTCCACCACACAGCTGGAAGACATGTCAGATATGTCAGATTTGGTCAGGTGAAGAGGGGGCGGGGCTATACAAACCAAACACATCCCCAAAAACACAGAGCTGCTGGTGTGTATTGAGCGTCTGAACATCTGGATGGAAAAATATTGTTTTTTTCTAAATAAAACACTTTGTTTCCTAAAGTCGTGCCACTGTGGGTTAATCCAGACTCAGTTCATGTTTCTCTCCAGCATGAGACAGTACAGTCACCATGACAACAGCTGGTTTCAAACTGTGGATAATGAAGTTCAAACTTTCTTTTGTTAAATCAGATGACGTGTACGTAGTTAAATGTTGTTTTGACACTTTGTTAAAGTAGATCACAGTCAAACATCATCATCCTCCGACAGACGTCACCGGATGCGACCAATAATAAAAAGACATTTCATTTGCAGTATTAAGCTAAAAGGAGCTAGCTGAAGCACAGAAACTTTAAATCTCACAGTGTTTCACTGAGCTCACCTGCTGTTAGAGCCGTCCTCTGCTTAATGCGATCATGTCATGTTAATGTGACTGGGCTAGCTACGTCAACGTCAACATGCTTACAGACATGCTAATGCTAGCAAAGATGCTAGCTCTTTCTTCTTCTTCGTCTTCATCATCTTCTTCTTCGTTTTCTAATTCTTCGTCTTCTTCATCTTCTAATTTTTCGTCTTCTAATTCTTCTTCGTCTTCTAATTCTTCGTCTTCTTCTTCACCTTCTAATTTTTCGTCTTCTAATTCTTCGTTCTCTTCTTCTTCGTCTGCGGTCGAAAAGTCTTTTCTTTGCTTAGTAAGGTCCCGAATCATGGATATATTATAAGATATTACAAGTTATGTTAATACATCCATATCCCTAACTGAGTTACATGACCCGTACTTACGCGGCAGCCATGATAAGGGCTGGTCCAGTTCTCTAATTGAGAAGGAAAGGAGCTTTAATGCTTCCTTTCTTATCTCCTTTAGCATAGGAAACAGGAGTTTCCTATAGGAAAGGAAAGGAGAAATGCCCTCCCACAATTCCTTGCTCCCTGCACAGCAGCAACAGCTGTTTTAAGTTTGTGACGTGATGCCAATCCCCTCAGCGGATAATTCCGATCTCTAGCGGTGTGCCACTCGTGTTCCATCGGCACATTCCGTTTCAGGTGAAGTGACAGTGATCTGCCACTAATTCTACTCTGAGCTAAACTAGCCTGTGTTAGCCTAGCCACCGTAGCCAGTCTGACTAATCAATAACAGAAATTTACAGCCAGCCAACCAAATAATACGAGTATTAGAACAAGATCACTCATGACGTCATATAAAACTCCACTTTGCGGAACATTAACCAGGTCTATTAACGGCATCTTATTTATTAATCATCATAAATAATTTGAATGCGAGCACTGGTGTGACTGTACACAGGCAGTGTCCTCTATCTGTCAGCAGGGGGCGCTGTACTACAAATTTAGCAACGTGTTCACGTTCACGGCATTTCATAGCCACCAACTTCTACCGGCACAACTACAACTATAGATCCGGCGACATATACGATCAACGACATAAATATCTCGTTAATTCAGAAAAACAGGATTTTTACATCACACTTCCGTACTAATAATTATTCTGCTCTGTTTTTCTGAATTAACGAGATAATACAGGATTTATTTTATTGTTTTAGAGAAAAAGAAGAGGAAAAAGTCATGTTCCTTCTGAACAAGATAATTATCTCGTTAATTCAGAAAAAGTTTATTTTATTTATTTATCTTTTAGAGAAAAGTAACAACTCACTCACTAACATACTTCCTGTTTATCCAAAGCATTTTGGGGGCTGTAGTTCCAAAACCTGTGGCACAATTATCCCCAACACATGAGGAAAGAATAAAAAAATAATGAAATAAATGGCAACTTATCTTTATGCCACATAGTCTGAAGAGTGAACATGGACGTTTAACTGCAGGGACAGATGATTCTGGATGAAACCAATTAGACATACTCTGGAAAAACGTTACAGCACTTTAACTTGTCCTGTTTAATCAGTGCGGTTTCAGTCTGAATGAGAACAAGCTGCGTGAGAAGCAGCAGGAAGAAATAACAGACAGACGTTTTAAAAAAGGAATCAAAACTTCTTTATTGTTGAAAAATCAATATAGAAATAAACGTATGTAGAAAAACATCAACAGCACAGCCTCATGTTAACGTACATACAGCACTCTCCTGTGTTTTCAATTGTCCCTGGTTTATAATGATGGGGTCTATACTTTAGTACAGTCTGGGCTCCAGCTGAAGGTTAAAGGTTAAAGTTCACTGTGTTCAGGAGACTGAGCTACATGTGGAGAAATCAGAAAATGCCCTGCATCGCTTTAGATAGTGAACCCTGCCTCCATAACCCTGGAGCGTTTATAGTGTGGTACAATAGACAAGTGTAAAACACAGTTAGCATGTTAGCTCGTAGCTCCTGTCGTACCACACTTCATGGACATTTCAGTCACATACAATTCAAGGAAAATGCGTTTTGTTCATCTGGAAGAAAGAAAAGTCTTCCACCTCTGTCAGAATAATTAGTTTTATCTGAACTAACATCTGTCTGACCTTACCATGGGACTATATCCAGGACTTAGTTATCCAGATATTTCTGGTTAGTTAGTTCAACCATTTGTTACCAGTATCTGGTTCGCTAGCCAGATATTTTATGACGGTTCAAATTTTATGAACAAAAGAACCTGATGTAAAAGTTTCACATGGTTCCTTTCCAGGACCTGGATCAGGGATAGTCAGCCTGATCGCCATGGAAACAATTAGCCGTTGCTTTACCCTCATTAACTTAGCTAGCCCTACTTTAATCATGACTGGCACACCCACCAGGAAGTGGGTTCAGAGGATCTTTACTTCATGTTTGGTGAAATAAAGAAAGGGCTTCGTTCAGTATTCTTTTTGATTGATCTGCTTCAGCATGGGGAGAGAAGAAGAAGAAGAGGAAGAGGAAGAGGAGGAGCACATTATAGTACAGTAAACAAAGGCCAAGGTGAGGGAAATGCATCTGCAAAAATGTATTGAAAAAATACGTTCTCTCCATATACATATAAATACATTTCTGTTGTGCAAATTGCAAGTGTAGAAGCCTGGTGCTATACAGCTGCTTTCCTGTGTGAGGCTGCAGGCCCCCGCTGTGTCCACGTCTCACTGACCTGCGTTAGTCTGAAGCACCAAAAACAACTGTGTTTAATGATCAACATGAATCTCCAGGAGCTGCAACCATTGCACCAACAGATCAACCACCTGCAGAAATGATGGTTCAGCTTCTCAAATATCAGATTTACATGATAATAAACTCCATGTTTTTGAGTTTGGACATGAGAGAACATCACCTGACGTTTTCGTTCAATCCAGAAAATAATCTGCAGATCAATCAATAATAAAGAGAATGGTTGCAGCCCCATGTCCAACAAACAGCAGAGATTCATCAACATGTACATGTGTCACGTACATGTGAAATTACATCTTCTTCAGGGTCTTGAGTGAATGTACATGTGACATCCATGAGGCAGAATAAGAACAATAAAATCCAGCGAGTCCACCTGGGTGAGCTGGTCTCAGCCACCAGCAGCAGACAGTTCCTGTGAGTGTGGAGCAGGACGGGTGTCACACGTCTCACTCTACAGTTGAACTCTATGATGCAAATCAACAGGAAAACAACATCATCATCACACACCAAGAATCCCGGGACATGTCACCCGTGGCCCTCGTGAAGAAATGTAATCAAAGACCTTTTGATAAATAACATCTCACAAGTTATGAAAATAGTAATCCAGGGAGCCAGCTTCCCATTATCTGAACACAAAATAAAATGTCTAGCGTGAGTTTGACCCTCCTGCTCTGCAATCACTGTCGCCTTGTTGCTTGATAAATAGTAAAGACGAGGCACGTTTGCTGTTACATATTTTTGAAATGCTCTCTTGTTACAAATTCCCTGACGAGTATTGTCCTGTACATGTTTTTACAGCACTGGGTGAAGATCCTCCTCCTGCTGTCGCCGTCCCAGCCTGGGCGACCGCTCCCCCCTCGTCTGAGGACCGCTCTGGGGTGGAACCCGTTCACCATTTGCCGGGAATGGGTGTCCCACACTCGTACCATGAGACGTAGTTGACGTGGGAGTGTCCTCCTATCTGTCCGAAGTGGACGGGCTCCTGACGGACGGCTCTGTAGTAACCTGGGACAGAGACGCAGAGGTGAGACTCAGCTGCTCCGCAGTTCAAGGAAACAGCTGATGCTACGTTAGCCATGCTAGCTGTGTCTGTCCCTAACGCTGCGACCTGAACTGTGATCAGCTGACTCTGTTTACCGGGTCTGGTTGGCAGCTGGTCGGCTCTCTGCTGTCTGCCGGTTCTCCCGTCCAGGAACGAGTCCACGAACTGACAGTGGTCCTCGCCGAAGCCGGTCTGGTCTCCGATGTTGTAGAATTTACCTGAACAGGAAGTGATCAGAGGCGGATCAGTACCTGGCTAAATTCTCTCTGCACTGATTGGATGGATCCGGTGTCTCCACTCACCATTGAGAGAGTCGCTCAGGTAGATCTTGTACCTGAGTGAGTTGCACAGCTGGACACCGACGAACTTACGGTACCAGGTCCTCTTCACGTACTGTTTCCCGTGGCAGTCGGAGTACGAGTCTGTCTTAAAGGGGAACTGGGTCCAGATGGCGTCTTTCCCTGCAGGTGTGGAGAAGTGAGGACAGGTGAGGACAGGTGTGGAAAGGTGTGGACAGGTGTGGACAGGTGAGGTGTGTGACTGAAGCTCACCTGAGACGTTCTCGCTCACCCGAGGGTCGGCTGAAGAGAGAACAGACGCAGCTTTAACAACTGACAGCTAGTCACTTTAATCAGAGAGAACTTTATTCTGAAAATATTCAGGAAATAAGCAGTCATCTGACTTCTATCAAACGGTGTAAACACATCTTTCAAAATAAAAGCTCTGGACTCTGAGATGTGTGTGTGTGTGTGTGTGTGTGTGTGTGTGTGTGTGTGTGTGTGTGTCAGTACCTGACTCTGTGTTGAAGGACACCGGCTCACTGGGAGGACCTGAGCCCAGCTCGTTCTTCGGCTTCACCTTGAACTCATAACTACAACAAACACAATTCATCCACAGCATCAACAACCGGCTGCCACGGCAACAAGGTGCTCACACATACACCTTTACCACAATAAAAGCACTTCCTGTGGTTACAGTAGAATAATGCAGTCATGTGACCTGATTCTTCTTATTTTTACAGTGTTGGTACGTTTACTCGTGTAGGAGGAGTAATCTGATTACTTCCTGCCTCGTCCACTGTGACTGGTCAGTGCTTTTGGACCGAGACGTCAGTCGACCTTCCTTCACACCAAATACTTGTGACGGACAAATGGCGCCTGGCCATGATGCCATGTTTGAGCAGCTGAACGTGTGAGCGGGAAACAGCAGATGTGAACGCACGCAGGACGAGAGCTGCTCCGATGAACTGACTTCAGGTTCAGAATAAAACAGAAACCAATGAAACGACATCATCATCAAACCCGTCACCTGTGTCCCCGCTCAGACCAGAACTTTACGAGATGAATGAAGATGTTGTCATGAAAACGGAGGCCTGATGACACAGTGACTGCACTCGGACCAACGCCCCAAATTCATGTGTTCAGGTTCCAGACATGAACTCTTTAAACACGTGTCCAACAGGAAGTGCTGAGACCACAGGCTGGTCCTGGCTCCTCCCCCTCAGACCTACCTGCTCTCAGGTTTCAGGTTCTCCACAGCCGTGTGAGTCTGGTTGGTGGTCAGGATGGAAACCTGCTCGCCGTCAGGTCCTTTAGCGGTGGAGATGACTTCATACTCTGAGGAGAGGACGACAGAGGTCAGAGGTCAGAGTCATGTGACATGCATCAGTGTCTGTCCACACAGGACACACCTCCACACTGTGTTTCCTGTTTGTTCATGAGGCGACCTCAGGTCAGAGGTCGTCTGATGTCAGAGTGATGCTGAAAACAAACGAGACTGAGGAACTTGGGGGGCGTGGCCTATCGTACCTGTTGTGTCGTTGTCCGTTTTCTCCCAGTCCAGGATGATGAAGGAGGGGCATCCCTCCACTGTTACCACGGTGAGGTTGGAGGGCGCGCTCTTGGGCGGAGCCGTCACGTTGGTCTCGCTGGGTTCGTCCTCGGGGAAGTAGTTAAGGGAGGAGGTGATGGAGCATGGCTCCTCCAGCCTCTTGCCCGTTTGGTAGACGACGTGAGGCGCTGTGGGAGGAGGAGGGGGGAGGGGGGGGGAGGGGGGGGTGTTAACTCCCTGTACAGTCACAGTTACAGTTCCAGCATGGCGGACTCTGCCTCCACTTACCCACGAATCGTTTCTTTCCCATGGCGTCGACATCAGACGTGGGCTGTGACTTGAACAGGTCCGAGTCCTCCCAGGATTCCTGCCGAGGGGCTGAGGAGAGAAACTCACAGGTCATGAATGAGGTCACAGATCAGGTGGTCACACACCTGCTTTTTCATGGTTTTTATGCCTGGACAGAAACTCTGTTTGAGTCAATGTCTTTGGTCTCATGTGGCATTTATGACATCAGCACTGGGGAGGAGTCATCAGGGACCAAAGATGGTGGATCACACATGATCACATGATGCAGGTCTGGTTTAACAGACTTCATTAAAATGACCTTACCTGCTGTGGTGGGCGTGGCCGTGGTGGTCTGTCTCCGCTCCTGTTTGGAGGGCTTGGCTGTGACCAGAGGGAGTTTGGACTTCAGGACCGGCAACTTATCCGTCTTGAAGTTGTTCACCTTGTCTGAGGGAACACATGAAAACAAGAATGTGTTTGATAATCACCTGACCTCAGGGAGAGAGCAGAGCTGTGATTGGCTGGTAGGATCCACCAGGAGAACAGTCTCACCTGTCTCTCCAGGTTTCCCCACCAGGTTGGGTCTCTTGTTGATGGTTATGGACGGACGAGCCGGGGATCCTGGAACAACAACACACATCAGACGTCTGAAGCTGACGTGTGCGGGCAGAGAACTAGTGACATCACAGTCACGGGAAACAGTCAGAACAGAACAGATGTGTGTGAACCAGCGTCAGGCTGAGAGGAGCTTTTCTAGCTAGGTGCTCTCTAATCTCCTGGAACCCTCGTGTTCTCCTGAGGAACAACCTGATACCAAGCAGGTTGACCTGAAAACACCAACAATGGATTGTAATCCCACCAGCTCCACCGGGCTCAGGCCCAGAACCTGCAGCCAATTACAGCCCGCTTTCTCTCATTTAGGTCGGAGCCAAAATTCCTCACAATCAGTGACTTGACCCGGGTCCAGAACTAAATGGAATAAAGCCGAGCCAGGAAGATGAAAGATGGTGGAGGCCTGAAACATTTAGCTGGTAACGTGAAACAACACAGACACATTCCTCTCAATCAGCCCGTGTAAATCTGTGAAGGCAGAGGCCGCCTGCTTTATTCTGCAACATGGAGCCGTTAGACCTACAGCTTTACAGGAGACTGTTGTCGTGGTTACAGCAGGAGGAGGGATAAAATAAATATTGGTCTGATTTTCCCTTTTCACACACAAACAATCCTGAAACAAGAAGGAAACAGCGGTTTCCCCTCTGATGAGACCTGCTCGCTGCACGCCATGCCTTCCTGCTAGCGTGAGGCCTTCTCTAAACATGGCGTCTCTGCAGCAACATGTCTGAAGCTCACGGCGCTCACGATGCTGCAATCAAGCAAAAAGCAGAGGCTGAAGCACGTGGACCACGGACCCGCCGGTCCAGTCCATACAGCAGCTCCTTCTAACCCTAATTAGAAACAGTTTGTGTGAATTTCTGTGGCGACAAAAAGCGTAAAGCTGGGCAGAGTGAGGTTCTGACAGAGAAGCTCACCATCACAACAGCACATACTTTCCAACAGGACAAAGTATTTTCCACAGGCTCTGCTGCAGCCTTTGGCAAAGCGCCGTTTTCTTCCCTGGTCCTGCTAAAGATCCGTCTCTGGACGTCTCACAGCCAAACCATGCAGTGTTGGCGCCAGTCAGCACGCGGCACGGGCGAGACAGGCGGGATTCATGCCGTTACCAACCATAAAACTGCTCCTGGACAGTGGGACCCGAGCGACCAAACATATCCGGGCGTTCAGATGTCTTGTCCTCCAGCAGAGAGTTGTTGACTGCAGTGGGAGACACCAAGTTAACTCCAAACACTGATCTGTGACCAGCCAACAAGACCAACAACACCACGACACCAGCTGCAGGATCATCATGGTCACCTCCACCTGGTGTCACCCTCACCTTATCCAGACCTCACCTGTCTGTCTGTCTGTCTGTCTGTCTGACAGCTCGTCTGTGTTAATGAATGTAGGTGAACTCTGGAGCAGCTCGTTAGCTGTAGCTGTTTCCTTGTGTCAGCCTGTAGGAGAGACTGTGAGGACTGAACTGACAGACAGGTGACACCAGGTGATACGTCTCACCTGTTTCATATTCACACAGTGACATAAACATCACAACAGGTGAGGTCACGTCTCTAGCTGCTAACGAGCTTCAGGAGTCAGGAACATTAAAGGATTGTAGGGTTCTGGGTCTGACTAAAGGTCCACACGGGTTTAAAGACAGACCCCCCACCCCCCCACCACCCCCCCACCACCACCCACCACCACATGGACACAGTGACATAATCTGCTGCTGCTCCTGGACTTATGTAACCAAGTCAAATAATCAAGCTCCAGTTGATTATTTGAAGAAGCTGAAGACCTGCAGAAGCTGGACCAGAGACAGAGACATGTGGGACACAGAGGCAGGAGGACGGACAGACCGATGGAGGGATGAACATGAACGTATTAATACACAGGATGGATGGAGACAAAAACACCGACAGGAGCTGCGGAAGCGACTGGAGGGTTAATGAGGACACACAGACAGACAGACAGTCGTTGTTTACCCAGTCGAGGTCGGGACCATAAGGCAGGTTTGGGCGGGGAAATGCCCCGGTGCGGCTGTCCGTTTACTGTGGGGAGAGAAGTGAGCGTTATGGAGGGAAAGAGACGGAACACGAGTCTTCAGGAACGTCTCCGACACGACACCTGAGACGTCTCAGAGACGTGAGGACGGAACAGGAGGTCATGTTCGTGTGACCGCATCAGACACAGGAAATAAAGTGAGAGAAAACCCATCAGATAGATCAACTCTGCTCAACCTGAAATTCAACAGAGGTCAGAGCCAGGTTTTCAAACATTAACTGAGGAGGAAATGTGTTGTGTAACTTCTCATCAACATGAGATTTGAACCCTGACGTTCAGACAGACGGAGGTTCAGGTGTGTGATCACAGTCAGACCTCAGGTGAAGGCGGAGGATGAACTTGTGTGCTTGTTCAGCTGTGAGGTTCTTCAGCAGCCAACACTGTGACAGTCAGAAACAACAGGCTGAAGAAAACACACGAGTTCAACCAGTGAAGGCAGCAGCTTCACCTCAGTGTTCAACTCCACCAGTCACAAAGAGCTGACACCTGAGCTGCACACCACAGGTGTCAGCAAGGAACACCTGCTTTTATTTGTGCCTCCAACATACTGATTTGTTTCATTCATCATTTTGACCTTCAACTACACCTGGTGCCACAGGTAAAACTCAATACCTGTAGATCCAAGCATCTCAGATCAGGTGTAAACTCCAGCTGAGATCCAAACACAGGGAGCTGAACATCAATCTGAGGATTATTACTGTGATTATTATTCTCATTTGAATCATTAATGACTAGGTCAAACTAATTAAAACAGTCAGTTCATTCAGTCTAATGGACCCACACGGACCAGGACTGGATCTGCTCACAGGGACAAAGTTCAGAGTTCAACTTGGTTTTAAATGACTGATTTAAATAGAAACCTCATGCTTTTAATTTGAATTTCATATCTGTTCATGATCAGCTGTGCACTGACTAACATCTTCTCTCGGTCACACTTGATTACATTTGAATTAATGACAGATACTGTCCAGGAAACGTCTCTGGAAGTGATTCAAAAATGATCCTCAAATGTTCAAACTCGTATTTTAGATGCACAAAGGAGCAACTCAAGAAAATGTTATCAACATTTCCCTCCAGGCTTTTCAGGAGGCCAGGAGGACAGAGAAGACTCAGAAAGAGAAGAAGAGTAAAGAACAGGTACCAGGAGGATTTCCCCCGAGTATCCCGGAGGTCGGGGACGAGTTACTGGGTCTAGAGGAAGAGTGGGGCTGTCTGAAGCTGTTAGAGAGGGGAAAGAGGGGGTTTCTTGATGCAGGCCTCATGGATCTGGCAACCGGGGTAGCTGCTGGGTTGTAGGTCTGCAAAGGCAGTGACGGGGACAGATTTCTTTTGCTGCCTTGACCTAAAAGATCAAAAACAGTTGCAAGGCCTGTGTTACAGTCTGGTTTCCTTTATCTTTGAGTTGCCAGTGAAGCGAGCAGCAGCCCTGAGCGGTGATGTTAGTGATGGAGGTTCTGACTCTAATGGACCAGTACAGTGAATATCATTGATTATCAACACTACTGATGCAGGAGATTAACAGATGAGTTTGATGGGATCAGGATGAGTCTTTAAGCGCTCACAATCTTGGGAAACCACAGTCATTTAAGCTGCTGATGAGGTGTGATGAAACAACCATGACTGTAAGATTGTGCGCCGCATGCAGACGTCAGACGCCATGTTGGATGAAATGTGTGCAACTCCCGGAGCGAGCAGCCATTCCTGTGGACGGAGACTGAGCTGCGAGTTTAACTGGAAGCTCGAGGGAACAAGATGGTTGCAGATTAACAGCAGACAAAGACAGAGAGAGCAAGACCGGCTTTGATCGCACAGGAAGCTAGTCATGAGGTCATTGTTACCCCAGCTGTTAGCTTTGGCCCTCTCATTGGCCAGAGCTGTTCTCAGCAGCGACGATCCATCCTGTGATTTGCCGAAAGCTGTGAGGGAGAAAGAAGGTTTAGCACCACAAAGAGCCAGACATGTCGCTTTAAGAGATGGTCCACAACCTGCGGGGTTAAAGTGACCGTTAGAGGTGACCACCGCCTGAAGCTTCTTCATACCAAAACATTCGACTGTTGCAGACGACACCGTCATATTTGTGAAGGTCCAACAGGAAGACACAGACCTGTCTCACTAACACCTGGTTATTTTATCAGAGGTTGAAGGTGGAGAATTAACACCTCCAACCTTTAACCTCCGACCTCTCCAGATGTAAAACAGAAGGTAACTGACAGCAGCTGAGCAGTATCTACAGAGAAACTTCCCACCAACCGTCAACCGTTCAAGGGAAGGTTTTCAGAGCCACCATCTCTTACTCCACAATATAAAACAACAGTGAAGTCTACACATTTTATCTGTCAGCAGATTAACAGTTAACAGTGCTCATCACATCAGACAACGCTTCAGAAACAACTCTGGAGGACGGTTTGGAGATGGCAAGGCCAGAAACTTCACAACACACACAATGAAACAGGGAAGTCGGGAGGTGGAAATTACCAGCAGGGTTATGAGGCTTCTCAGGTGCGTTAGTGGGCGCCTTAGTAGTCTGCCCCTGAAGCCAGTCACCACGGGAGGAGGAGGATAATTTAGTAAGGGGGGAGGCTGTGGCGTTGGCAGAGGGGGCTTTGGTGGGTAGGTGTCGGGGGAGGGCAGGAGGAGGAGGCTCTGTCGGTCGGCTGGTGTCGTTTTTAACCGAGTTTCCTTTGTCTGGAGCGAGAGAGGAGAGAGGTACGTGATCATGGGCTCTGATGGTTTAGGTCTAGGTTCTGGTCCCATAATCTCGTACCTCGTAGAAACACAGAAAAGTCCAGAAGACATTGTTGTTGTGAAGAGACAGACACACACAGGGGACAGGAGTGTGAGGACTCTGCAGAACGACTTGTGTTGTCTCTCCCTGGAGGGAAAGTCCAACTACGTCTGCGTCTGAACTGGCTGACATGCAGACTGATCCAACACAGACAGACAGGTCGACAGACAGGTAGACAGACAGACAGACAGAGGAATGAAGGGGTGGATGATGACAGAGGAAGTGTGAGTGGATAATAAACTGGTTCATGTGTCTAGAATTCATGAGTGAAGTTTGAGTTGAACCAGGACGAGTTCAGATTCATTAACTCTAAACTTCTAAACTTAGTCTCCAAAGACTCAGAGTCTGGAAACTGGAAATTATTTGCCAACATTTAGTTGAAACTCATAAAAATGTGAGATTTTTTATGAAGAGTAAATGTTGAATGTTGAACTAAAGGAACTCGTTAAGGCTGGAGACTCTGTCAGTTACTCACTGATAAATTGAAAAGATATTTAAGATGTTCCAGACTGAACTCAGATCTGTGGCTGCTGAGAGAGAGGACAGAGGGGATGCAGAGGACAGCAGATTATTTTAGGGAGAGAAGAAGAAGAGGAAGAAGAAGACGCTGAGTGCACAGATGAAGCATCATGGCCGACACGTGCGCTGCAGGTTGGAAAAACACGAGCCGCGGCCGTAGCCCCTGTGGGCGGGGCAAAGTGAACTTACTCGTATCACCTGACGTCACCTCCACACCTCGGATCGACTTTCTAACTGGGCTCAAAGCATGCTAGCATGCAGCCAATCACAACAGCTGCACGTCCCAGACCCCGCCCCCCCTCCCAGGTGCAGCACTAGGCTCAGCCGAAGCAGGTAAAGACTGTCTGCGGATAAAAGCTGGACGATGATTAGGAGAGAAAAGAGCGTCTGTCTCGTTACCCAGTGACACACGAGGCCAGTGAGGCTGAGCAGAGCCGCGCACAGGGAATGTTTCCTGCTGGCCCTCAGGTGGCGCTGTGGGACAGAATACAACTGGTTTATAAGAGCAGAAGAAGAGGGACAACAAAGAGGTGACAGGTTGGACTGATGTGAAGTTCAACATGCTTCTTCTTCTGTGAATATTAGAGTTCATGTTTAGTTTCACAGTCAGTCGAACCCTCGTATGTTCGTATGTGAACATGTCTGCAGCCCTGAGAGGAGAGAGAGAGAGAGAGAGAGAGAGAGAGAGGGAGAGAGAGAGAGTGTGTGTGTGTGTGTGTGTGTGTGTGTGTGTGTGTGTGTGGCGAAGGCAGGAGAAGAGATAATCACCAAAGGAAGTGCGTGGAGCTCCGGAGAAACCTGGGTTTTTGAGCGGAGGAGAAAGTCGAGGCTGCGTCCGGTTGTGCAGAGCTGTGATTGGTCGACAGGTCACAGGAAGTAAAACCAGGTGACACAGTGTGAGTGTGTGCAGCAGCTTCAGGTCACATGTTCATCATCACATTTGTACTTGAGTGACTCAGTATCAGAAGGACTCTGTATGAACTCTGTCACAGTCCAGTGGGGTCAAAGGTCATTTACAGGAACAGTTGTAGTTTGGTAGATCTGCTCCATATCAGAACAAACGGTTTGTCAATCAATCAGTTAATCGATCAGTTATTGGTTGATCAAGACTTTTCTGTCTCTGTGACTGGACCTGTTTGACCTTTGACCTCCGACACCGCTGTGTGTATGTGTGTGTTATATATATATACACAGAGTGTGTGAGTGTGTGTGACCTGAAGCAGGTGGATGTGACTGAACACACCAGACTCCCTGACAGGTGACTCACCTGGACGAGGCGGGAACAGAGTGTGAGGTCCATGAGGTTTCTGGAAACAGAGACACTGACTTGAGACTCTCATACAACATGAACACATGACTCAAGCATCCAATCAGAGACTCTGAAACTGAAGGGCTGTAAAACCTGACATTTCAATAAAGTTTGCATTTTTGGATCAGTTTTGGTTCATAATTCAGCCACTGAGGCTCATGGGTAATGTAGTATGAAGATGTTAAGATTAGATAAACCTAAATAATGTTTATTATAAATCATGTGGCTCTGAAACAGGAAGTATGTTTAGTGTCTCTGAGCTGAGCGTGCAGACTAACACGACCTCGACCTTTGAAGAACACACCTGTCAGGCTGTGTGTCTGCTGGGAGCTGTGTGTCACTACACACATGTAACAGGAAGTGAGGCCACAGGAAGTGAGGCGTGTGTGAGGTTGGTTTGACATTACATTATTATTAATATTAATATTAATTATATCCCCAGTAGATGAACTAAATGTGTAGATGTTGGTTCAGAGGTGACAGACGCACAGATCAGGCTGGTTCACACTCACGGACATGCAGCAGGTCACCTACCATGGGCTTGGCGAGGGGGTTGCGCAGCTTGTACGGCTTCTGTGCATTTTTATCTGTGAAATCCAGACAAGGTGTTTGAATCAGTCCAGGGTCGACAACAGGACGTTCCAGGTCCAGGACCAGGTTTTAAACATGTTTATATACACAACACTGGTTCTAACACAATGACGTGACAGACCAGGACTAGGTTCAAAGTTAGATGAAGTATTTGACGAGCTGCACTTCATGAACTCAGCAGGTGAGAGACGATCGTCTTAATGACTTTAAAAACAAAACGTAAATGTCACGTCTAAAGAAGCAATCAACCACGTGTTCCTGAGGTTTCACTGTGTCAATCATCAGATCAGAGCTGAGATGTCTGAAGCTCTGAGCGTCAGCAGCTGTGTTGAGCATCTATGAAAGGTCATGTGATCAGACACTTCCTGATTTAAATCGGAGCGGTGTCGGTTTCTTTAGTTGTTGTTTCTAAAACGTTTTGGTTTAAGAGTCGGATCAGCTGACGGACTGTCTGTCCTGACTGATGAAGGTGAGTTACAGTAGAGGTCTGTCTTACTGCCCATGTTGGTGTTGTGGATGACCGCTTTGCTCCATGTGCCGCTGCGGTCGTCCTTGTTCGACCGGACGCCGAACTCGTAGGGCGTGTTGGGTTTCAGGTTGTCGATGACCGTGTCGCTGGTCGGGCAGGTCTGGTAAATCCACTTCCTGTTCCTCTCCCTGTAGCGGATGGTGTAAAACCTGCAGACAGAGGACAGAAGTCTTAAACAGTGTTGGGGTGGGCGGGCAGACTACTTTGTTTAGCGCCTTGCTCCTGCTCGTTCTGGGTGCCAAGGTACGACATGTGAATGACATCAAGGATCGGACGCCAGGTCTTCAGCCCGTGAGGTTTCTGTGACCTCAGCATGGAAACAGCTGCTCACATTAGGTGTTGTTCATTTTGGCGTTTGCTCCCTCCCTTCAGCTTTTAATAAGGAGCCCAGAGCAGCGAGGACGCCTGGGTCAGCGTTTCCAACGCCGCCTCCAACTCACTTGACTGGAGGAAAAACTGTGTGTCAGTGTGAGCGGAGGAGAGAGAGTCACGGTCGAGAGAACATCGCTCAACCACAGCAGCAGAGTCTCAGGATGAAGATCAACATCTGGTGTGTCGTTTCTGATCGATAATCAATTGTTGATCACACACACATCAACTTCCTGACTGTTCTCAGGTACGACAAGTGTTTTCTCATAATCACAACAAATGTGTCACATGATGAGAACGACACAGATCACATGATCGATCACATGATTATCAGTAATTGATTGACGATGACACACAGATCACAGAGTCTCACCCGTCCTCCAGACACTCGTTCATGATGTTGCCTTCGTACGGCGTCTTCAGGTAGTTTCCCCAGGACAGCAGCACGGCCGTCGGGCTGACGGAGCCGATCACCAGGTGGAGAGGCTTCTCCAGGTTCACCTTACCTGAGCACACAGGTGAGGACAGGGTGAGACCTGGTGTCCAGCAGCTGGGACCTAACAGGAAGCTGTGGGCGGGGCGTACCTGTGCAGTGTTTCTTCACGTCGTTGACTGGGATTGGCTGCACGGCCACGAGGTACTTGGGCTCTGCGTCTGAAAGCAAACGTGAATTCAGGTTCAGGATCAGACCAGGTGAGGTTCAGGACAGACACACAGACCCAGTTCACTCCTCAGAGAAACACCTGAGGAGTGAACTGGGTTTTCGACTTTGGTTTGGCTTCTGGATTAATGATTGGATAATGAAAGCTAGTAGACCACCATCCAGACTACAGGGCCACCTGTAGATCCACCTGTAGATCCACCTCCAGGTCTCAGATCTCAGGCCCTCTGCTCGTGTTCATCCACACAAACATGTGAGAAATGTGGACTCTGTTATGGAAACGTGATGAAGAAGGTGATGTCATGGTGGGTACTGCCCCCCCACCCCCCCCTTCCTGCCCCCCGCCCCCCCCAGACAGAAAGCAGACGCACACATGTGAACGATTACAGAGAGACTGAAACACAACACGACACTTTAAACATCCACATGTGAAAACACTCTCAGCTTCTTTCATAATAATCTGATTTTCATCCAAACGGGTTCTCTGCTCCGGGTCCAACGTCTGTCCCCGTCCCTCATGTCCTCCCTCTGTCCCTCATGTCCTCCCTCTGTCCCTCATGTCCTCCCTCTGTCCCCGTCCCTCATGTCCTCCCTCAGTCCCCGTCCCTCATGTCCTCCCTCTGTCCCTCATGTCCTCCCTCAGTCCCCGTCCCTCATGTCCTCCCTCTGTCCCTCATGTCCTCCCTCTGTCCCTCATGTCCTCCCTCTGTCCCCGTCCCTCATGTCCTCCCTCTGTCCCTCATGTCCTCACTCTGTCCCCGTCCCTCATGTCCTCCCTCAGTCCCCGTCCGTCATGTCCTCCCTCAGTCCCCGTCCCTCATGTCCTCCCTCTGTCCCCGTCCCTCATGTCCTCCCTCAGTCCCCGTCCCTCATGTCCTCCCTCTGTCCCTCATGTCCTCCCTCTGTCCCTCATGTCCTCACTCTGTCCCTCATGTCCTCACTCTGTCCCTCATGTCCTCTCTCTGTCCCCGTCCCTCAGGTTCTAGGTTCCAGGTTCTCTGCAGCTGCAGGTGTGACTCTTCCTGGACGTCGTGGTTCTATTTGCTTGTTCTGTGATGATTATAACCTTTGAACTCAAACACGTCTTGAATTCTTGTTCCTCTTCAACTTTCTTTTTTTTCTGGTTCTATGCAGTAGAACCGATGTTTTTGACCTTTGTTCATGTTTACAGTCAATAAAGGCCTCACTCATTCATCATCCCTGTCCTCTCTACCTGCTGCAGGTGATGAATAACGGTTAAAGTGGCAACAACAGCCTCTTTATCCCTTCACCTGGTTGAGAGTGAAACATGCTCCGCCCCCTCCTGACCTAATCCATCACCTGTCAATCACCTGTTAATAGCTGAGTGTTTTTTGTGGCTGTAAAGTTCAGAGGTTTTCTTTTCACTGTAACGTTGTTGAAGTTGTTATTTATCATTAAATCTTGTATTAAACCTGAAGCAGGAACCAGTTTAATGAAGCTGGACTCACTGCGGAGATCAGCTGTTCATTAACACTTCCTCTTTATGTCAAACAATCATAATGAATGTGAGTTAGTTTTATATGGGTGATGGGAGGGAGGCTTTTATTGTGAAGGATCGTAGAGAGTTAGAGCTGCTTCAAAAACTCAGGTGTTCACCACCATATATGGACGTATCCTGCTCTGTTTGTACTGCAGGTAAACGACCTCTTGACCATGACTCGCTGAAATGATGCTGACGTTATGATGATGTCATCGCCGGTCGTCACCCCGAGGTGTTCAGCCGCTCAGACCTGAACCTCCGTGAAGCTTCTCGTCTCTGCAGTTTCACGTTTCTGTCTCATGGCTGAAAAAACCAAAAACCAAAAACCACCGGCGGCGTGGGAATTAAAGAGTCAACATTGCGGTCGTCGTCCTCCTCCTCCTGCTGACGGATGGTCCTCCGCTCAGGCTTTTAACCAGGAGGGTAAACACCCCATCAAGTGTTTAAGAGCAGCTTTGACACCACAGCCCCGCCCCCAGCCTCTGATTGACAGGTGACCTCGGGGCAGCGATGAGAGACGAGCGAGGAAAATGGAAACGGTGATTAAATTAAAGCTCAAACTTCCTCCTGAGACGAACTGTTTATATCTGTTTGACATTTTTCTTCTGGGTTTAACAACATGAAAGACTTTTTCCCAGCAGTGCTTGAACACAGGAAGATGGGGAAGCCATGTTTGTATGAAAATAAAATATACAGCAGACATTTGGGCTGTTGGTGATCTGACACCAAAGCTCAGCCAAACTTTGACTTTTTTAACATCATTGAAAAGTAAGAAAAATCATAAAATAACCTGTGGATGTTTGAGACTTCACACTTCTGGGTGTTTGACTCAGAGTCTAAAGAACTGGAGTCTTTAAACTTCATCAGGAATCAGAAAGACGACGAGCTAACACATGCTAATCAATGCTCTCACCTTTCATCAGACTTGAAGAAGCTTTGGTGACTCGTCCACCAAACTGCAGCCGAACTTGGAGGTGTTTATTTTGCTAAAGTAAAAAAGGACACGGGAAAAAGAGACCACCACGACCTTCAGCTAAGTCCTGACACTTTTACCACAGTTAGATCTAAAGTCTCTCCACTCTCACAGATAGAAATCAGGCGTTCTTCATGTTTGATGAGATTGAAAAAAGACTAAATAAATCTTCATCGTTTGGGTAAGAGGCGAGCTACAGTGTGCAAAGACAAACAGCACTGAGATCACATGGTGGTGACCTGTCCACCAGACTGCAGCCAAGTCTTCACACTTTCAACCCAGGACACAGCGAAGTCTCTCCAGCCTGATTATGGCAGTAATCAGACTCTCACTACTAACGATAAGACCTAGAGTCAAACACCCACAAGACAAAAACAATGTGTTGCAGTCGTTTACCACAGAAATGTGTAAAGAACATGAGTCTCTGGAGAGGGAGGTGTTGAAGGACGACTTTCAGCAGGTTTTCTATGAACCCCCCCCCCCCAGTGGCCAATGACACGCTCCCTTAAACACATCACACCGTCACGACTTTCAGCGTTTCCGCGTCATGACGGGATAAAAATTCTTGGCCGAGCTTCAAAAACAGGATCAGAACCACCTGCTGCTGAGAGACTCGTCTCATGTTCTGGTTTTCCCCAAAACTGTTTCTGCAGAAACTCACTGTTTCCCACGGGTACCGAGGTTTAGACGTGGGGGGTGGAGGGTCTCACACACAGAAACAAAAACCTTCAGTCCCACAGGAGAGAATCTTTTTATATGTGTGAACCAGCAGAAGTATGGAAGCCCAGACAGGACAACATAAAGATGACTGATCCAAACTTGTTTCAACAATGAATCAGAACTGAAATGATAATCAATATATTATATTTGTTTCCATGGAGACCCGTCCCTGCCCATCTTACCCATCTCGGTCTCGTAGGGCTGTCCGTTCTCCGGGAGCTGGATGAACTGTTTGGAGAACATGCTGCTGCCGTATCCCAGGATGTAACCCTCCAGCTTCACGTCGGGACTCGGACGCACGAACTTCATGATGATGGTGTCGCCGGTGGCGTTGATCCGGACCTTCATGTTCTGACGACGGACTGAGGAGGAGGAGGGTAAACAAACATTTATTATGCACCTGAAGTATCAAACATCACACTGAACATGGGCAGGTTACTTCCTTTTGCCTTCACAATAAAACATCCCTGTGAAAAGTGTTGCTTTTTAACGCAGAACAAAACCTGCAGCGAGAGAGAAAGTTCAAATTATGAGATGCTACAGAAAAAGAATGAAATACTGAAAAGTAAAAATTTACAGTTTTAAGATTTAATTATAAAATTCTATGGAAAATTCAGTAGCTTTAAAATACAGATTAAAATTAGACTGAAAGAATTTGGAAATTTTAAGTCAAATTTGGGGGTTGAAAAAACATTGTCTCAGTTTCTCATTATTTTATTTAAAATATGAACATTTTGATTTTAAAGTTCATAAATGTCATTAAATTATTTTCATTATATTTTATCTAATTTCTTTTCCTGACAAAAATCTGCTTCTAGCCTGAAACCACTTCACCAATAATATACTATTATTCATATATACTCTATATATAAATTCAATTAGGTTTAATTCAGTTTTCCAAACACGTGAATGTAAAACTCCAGTTATCGAATGTCAGGTTTTTACTTCCTGCTTCATGTCACCAGTTACATGTTGGACTTTCACCACAGAGGTTGAGTGAGGTTGTTTCCATCAGAGAGGATCTGGAAATCATTCCCTGAATCCTCCACACGTTGTTGTGATTTCAGAGTTTTTCTTTGCTGTTGTTATTCCTGCCGTAGTGCCAGTGAGCTCTGGTTCTCATAATTAAGTCGCTCCGGTCGCATTAGAACAAATTGTGGATAATTACAAGAGAAACACTTTAACAAACGAGACCAATCAGCTGCCGAGGGAACGGACGAAGGAACAGGAGGTTTGTTTGATTTGAGTCACTGGATCCTGGACGTGTTGTAACATCTCTCTTCCTGTTGGAGTCACAGATGTTTGTTTTGGCTCCAGAGGCTTAAAGACGGAGCTGAGGTCACATCAAGACTCCTGCTCAAACACACCTGTACTGTTAGTGCTGCTGCAAGAATACTGCTGCTACTACTGCTGCAAGAAATACTGCTACTGCTGCTGCAAGAATACTGCTGCTACTACTGCTGCAAGAAATACTGCTACTGCTGCTGCAAGAATACTGCTGCTACTACTGCTGCAAGAAATACTGCTACTGCTGCTGCAAGAATACTACTGCTACTACTGCTGCAAGAAATACTGCTGCTACTATTGCTGCAAGAAATACTGCTGCTAATACTGTGACTCCAGGGAGCAGGCGCCACTACAGAGCTTCAGGAACGACTCTACTGTTTCTCTACTGTTCTCTGTTGTTTCTCTACTGTTTGCAGTTTCTTATTCTCTAGTTAAACTGTGATTCATATCTGTTTTGTCGTCGACACATCTGAAGCATCATTTATGTATTAATGATGATGTTTTGTGCAGGTTTTAATGTTTAGTGTTTTAGTGCCGTTAACAGGGTCGTCAGACATCTGTTCCTGATCCTGTGTGTGAACATGAAGCTTCCTGAAGAGATCCTCTGGTTGATTATCAGCTGTTTCTCCTTCAGTCTGAAGGTACAGTCTGTTCTGAAGAGCCACGCTCTGATTTCATTTCATGCTCTCATAACTCCTGAGATGGATATCTCATGTAGAAACCAGACTCCATACCTTTGTTTTGAATGTTTTTATGATTCCCCTCGTCGCCTCTGGTCAAACAGTTAATGAACATGTTGGGCGTCCAGCAGCAGATTGACCTGACCTCTGATGCTCTGGGGTTCATACCCAACGTCACGGTCCACTTTTAAAACTTTAACAAGTACAGAATGTTTCAGTCCCACAGGGTTTTTCAGGAACTATAAACTTTTTTTATTTTTCTAAGACTCAGAGGAGAAAAGCTGGACAGCCAAAGACGAGGAGGACTCAGCTCCAGGAGAAATCACGCTGCAGAACCTCGTCCTGTTCCAGGTTTCCTTCAGTGTCACAGTGATCCAGTTCATCATGATACACTGCAGACAGGAGCTGCTCACAAACTCTCAATGAAGAGAACACAGACTGGAATAAAAATGTCTGAACACATGAAAGTGACTCAGCAGAACATCAACATGGAGCTGCCTGTTTATCAGACTGTGTCCCATCATTTAACAACCTCCACTCAAACACGATGAAGCTGTTAAAGTTCATCTGCAGTTCATTCTCTGTCACATCTGAGACTGAAGCTGATTTTTACACTTCATGTTCCTCCAAACCATGTGAGGCTCCTTCATGTGGTTCATGAGCTTTTCTTTTGTTTTTTAACAGCACAAACGTCCGATCTGGTTCCTGAACCACTGGAAACTCGTGGGAAAGTCTCTCGTCATGAGAAGCTTATTAACTGCAGTCAAATCAGCTCCTGATGTTTTTGATCTTTGTCTTTTTAAAGCTCGACTGTTTGCTCTGGTTTTGGCCAAAGAAACCTTGGATCCTGAAACCGAAAACTTAATTAAAATTTAACTTAATTAGCTCTTATCACATCTATCTTAATGGATAAGGATTGAAGATCTCAGGCCACTGATCTGAGTTATTATGGGATGTGTGTCTGATTGAATCATCATCACAGTGTGGAGACATTTCAACTTCTCACCGAGTCCCACTGTGGACTCAGACTTCCTGCAGGTGAACACAATCACATACAATTATTAACTGACAAAACAATCAGCAGTTGTCAGTGGTGAGCAGCTGCTCTTGTGCTTTCAGTCACATCCTATGAGCTTCATCAGCAGAGAGCTGTAAATTTCTTAAGGACGTGTTCTCCATGTTGGATTAAAGGTTTATTATTATAAGTGTTTTAATTATATATTAATCTGGATATTATAAAGTATATCTGTATACTATTAAGATATTATTGTCATGAGACAGATGATTTTTAATCTTGTCAGAACACGTCAAGTTTGAGATGATACGAAGAAGAAATCAGTGGTTAAACTGATGAACTTTCTGCGACGCCTCAGGCCTCTGCACAGAGAAACAATCAGCTCTAATTAAAGGCATTAAAGCCAACAGAGCTGTGAGGACCCACCCCCATCACCGCACCAGTGTTGGTTTTACTGTGTGTGTGTGTGTGTGTGTGTGTTGTGCTGTGTGGGCGGTGGGGGGGGGGCGGGGGGGGAGGGGGGGGGGCATGTTGGAACATGTGGAATCATGCAGCTCATTCTTGGCAGCGGCGCTCGGCCTGTCCAAGTCTTTCCAGCAGCAGCTGATTGAGTGGAGGGATAAACCCCGACATGAAAGACATCAACTCCCCCGAAAAAAACCTCCTGTTTGACGGAGAGGAACGTCCTCCCTGCTAACTGTGTGTCTGAGGCCGACAGCTGCAGCACGCCTCAGAGGAACAACAGAGGAACACGGATCTAATGACGCTCGTTTGTCTTCAAACTTGCTGTAAAAAGAAATACTGCTGCAGCTACAGAGTTACAGCAAGTAAAGAAAGAATTAAAACCAGCCACTAAAACAACAGACACAAAGAACCTCAAAGAAACACAGGAAGTAACAGAAACTGCCCCATGAAGAAGAACCACAAGTAAAGAACGAGAATCTAAAGTAACCAGAAGAAACAAAGTACAAATACCACCATGTACTGTCAACTGCACAACTAACTACAACTAACTACCACTAACTACCAACTAACTACAACTAACTACCACTAACAACCACTGACTACCACTAACTACCAACTAACTACAACTAACAACCACTAACTACCACTAACTACCAACTAACTACAACTAACTACCACTAACAACCACTGACTACCACTAACTACCAACTAACTACAACTAACAACCACTAACTACCACTAACTACCAACTAACTACTACTAACTACCACTGTAAGTGAACAACAAAGTGTCAAACCACCAACAAATGACAAAAAAAGAAAAAAAGAAACTTCTCCACAAAAACATAAAACTACAACAAAGAACCACAAAGTTTCATCAAACTGCAAAGTGTCGACAGAACAAACACAACTAATATAAAAAGAACCGGAAGAACCACAGAACGTATCCGCGAGCGAAACATGAGTTTCTAACTAAAGTACCACAGATTTAACTGCAAAGAACCGAACTAAAGACCAGCAACAACACGAGTCGAGTGAGAACCACGAGAACACTGTGTTCTACAGAGAACCACAGTAAGTACTCAACAAGGCGGTGAGTGAGGCTGTGCTCTGTATTATATGATAATATATTATAATGAGTGACGAGCTGTTTGAGAGAGTTGGAGGTTTCCCTCCTTTTAAGGACAGAGAGACTGTGTCTGTAAGCAGTCTCATTACCTCCAACTGTAAAACACTGTGATGGAAACTAAACTCTCTCCCTGACGCAGCACAGGCCCTTTCATTTCACCACTAATGAGCTGCTGCTGCTGGTTTTACTGGTTTCACTGGGGTTTTATCGTTCGGAGGGAAAGAAAACACTGGGGGGGGGGGCACTGACAACAAGTCCAAGAGCTCGTTTAGCTCCAACTACTCCGAATGTCAGTTAATTATCAAAAGTTAAGAGGCGTTTAAGTACCTACTCTACAGTTAGACTTTCAAAGACTCTACAGTTACTCTTCACGTCACTTTGTTAACAAAGGGGAGGGGCTCGTTTAGCGCCACCTACAGATCAACACAGACATGCTCTATTGATGCGTTCAGTGGCTTCAATGTTTCCTGTGTTGGAGAAGAAATGTCAAAATAAAAGAGAGTCGTTCTGGAAGTTAATGAATAAAGTGTTTTGGAGCCCCCGAGAGGTCAAGTCAGACCACTGATTTCTCTGTAGCGCCACCTTCAGGACAAACTGCTGCACATGAGAGATAGGTTCCAAGACCATAAAGCTCTGTGTTCACACATGTATGTGTCTAACACAGGTGACAGCTGTTTGTGCAGCTGGGCAGTGTGATTACATGGGGGTACGTCTGCTCTGTCAGTGGGACCATGGACAGATGACAGACAGTGAACGCCTCATTTTTCACTAAACTGGACGAGTATGGAAGTTCAACAGAGACAGAAACACAGAATAACAGTCACTCGAGTCATTTTATTCCTCTAACTCTGCACAAACACAGGTGATTTTAATCTCAGTCATCAGGAGCGTAAACACCTGTGCAGGTGTGCAGAGGCTCTAACAGTCACCTCATTAAATATGAGGTGTTATTAATTAAACTAAGAAACAGTAAAGTCAGTAGTTTTTAACTGCAGGACTTTTACTTGTAGCTGCTGACTGACTTTGACTGAATCATCTGAAGACATGAACGATGTGGTTGTGGTTCTCAAACGTGGGTTGTGAGGTCGTCATGTGGTCGTCATGTGGTCGTCACGTACAGTCAGAGTTACCTGACCTGAGGCTGAAGTAACGTGTTTTCATTGAACTTGTCAAACTGTGAGAAGTCCAACATCTGGATGTGGGTGTGTCATTAAAGACAATGTGACAAAACAGATGCAGGAAACTAAAACCTCACACAGAGGAACAAAGACTCAGTTGTTCTAATTAGTTTTATTCTTCTACCACATCGTTACAGTTTTGCTCACTCAGTGTTTTTGTCAGTGCTAAACTTCCATATAAAGAAACAAACAGAAAAATCAAGAGTGACAATTCTCTCTCTCTCTGTTGTTCTTGGCTGTCTCTCGCCCGGTGAGGTAATCCTCTCCGACCACAGTGTCACTCTGACACTTCCCTCTGAAGACGGGGATTTTATCATCTTACATAACTTTACACGCTCAAAGAGGCACAACAATCACAGGTCAGATCATGAATTAGCCCCGCCCCCACCACACACACCCGCCTGCAACACCTGAGCGACGTGTGCGGGATCCAGAGAACGACGCCAAACATCAAATCCACCTCAACATGCATCAAACATAAACTCCAGTTTCAGCACAAAGAAAAACAGCAGAGAGCTGAGTCAGCAAAAACCAGCTCCGTCCCGACACGTACGGGAGATTCAGAGCGCCAAAGACCTCATTTCATCATCACTCTCAGGAGATGTGATCATATATATAACATGTATGCATATGTCAATCAAACTTTATTGACACAGGGCTTTAAACAGGTTCACCACCTGGAAATATTGATTTCAGTTTTAAAGTCACATTTACAGTCAGTCTTTGCACCTCACTCACATCTGCAACATCTGCTTCACTTCCACCATCTTACACTGTTCCTCCACTTTTTTATTTCCACCTTTTCACCTGCTGATTTTTTGCACTTTTATTGTTGATTTATTTTCATCTTTGCTTCATTGCAAACTGTCTGTCTCACAGATTCCTGCTGGTGTCTGCACATGCACCATGTTTCTGCACCAGTCTTATTTAAATCCTGTCTTCCTTCTTTTTTCTGTCTTAATGTTTCACCTCGACTTCAGTGTGTGTGTTCATGCAGTGTGCAGCACTTGCCTCTGATCCTCTGTGCAGAGATGCCGTTGAGTAGAATCGTCCCTCCGAGCAGCAGGAGGACGACTCGGAGGATGAGAGCGACGCCCACCATGACCTCTCAAAGCTTCGGCTTGCAGGAGATGAGGATGAAGAAGATGAAGGTGATGTGAAAAGGATGAGGCGCGACCAGGAGCTGGACAACTTCACTAAGGTCGGTCGGTCGGTCTTAGGACTTGTTCAGCAGTCGGACGTCCTCGCTGTGGAGAGTTGGACCACCAAAACACCAGCATCTATAGCCTCAGCAGGTGGGCGGGGCCTGGATGACATCACCAACCCCCGTACAGCCAACCAAACCCTATAGAGTGCTCTCATACTGTACACTCCCTCCTCTCAGCCCTCCCTTCTTTTCTCTCTGGACCTCAAACATGATTTTCTCTCCCTCCCTGCTTTTTTCATCACGTACCTCTCCCCCTCCCCCTCCCCTCCCGCCTCCCCTTCTCCCTCCCCCCTGCCTCCTTCACTCTCCCTCTTCTTAATGTGTTGTTTTCCAGTCGAGCTTTGACACTTGATGATTCAGTCACACAGCGGGTTGAGCAGAGCTGTGGGGAAACAACAACAAAACAAAAGTGTGATCAGAGAGAAGCACCAACATGTTCTGAGGAAAATCTCTCAACGTCTTTATATTCACACATTCACATCTTACTGTTTTTATAGTTTCACTTCACCTGAGAAAGTCATAATGTTTCTGCTCCAGTCCCTGAAGGCTGCAGGCGTTCCCTCTGTTTCATTCTGGCTTCACTGCACATCCATGTTGTTACTGTGCTGTTACTGTGTTGTTAGTGTGTTTGTTAGTGTGTTGTTACTGTGTTGTTACTGTGTTGTTAGTGTGTGTTGTTACTGTGTGTTGTTAGTGTGTGTTGTTACTGTTTTGTTGGTGTTTGTTAGTGTTGTTAGTGTGTGTACTGTGTGTTGTTAGTGTGTGTTGTTACTGGTGTGTTTTTAGTGTGTTGTTACTGTGTTTGTTAGTGGTGTTGTTAGTGTGTGTTGTTAGTGTGTTGTTACTGTGTGTTAGTGTGTGTTGGTAGTGTGTGTTGTTAGTGTGTGTTACTGTGTGTGTTAGTGTGTTGTATGTGTTGTTAGTTGTGTTACTGTGTGTTGTTAGTGTGTGTTGTTACTGTGTGTTGTTAGTGTGTTGTTACTGGTGTAATAGTGAGAGTTTGTGTTGTTGAAGGACGAGCAGCAGCTGCAGGTCGAATATGACGAGGAGCTGAAGTCTGGACTTACAGGAACCCAAATCAGCTGTGGACGTTCTCAACAAATGATTGTAATGCCTGTCTGTCACACACACACACACTCACACTGCTGCTGGGTAATCACCGTGTTGGTCGCAGTGTTTGGGTCATTGAGGTTTTTCCACATGTTTCAAAAAATTCTCATGAAATCAGAGCGCGTCCTCAGTGGCCCCCCACCACTGCTGGACCAGAGCATGATGGGAAGAATGAAACACACAAACTTCTCTCTCACACAAACACACACACAACACACACACACACACACACGCACGCACGCCACACACAAACCCTCTCGCATCACAACAACATCCGCCTGCTTCACACGTGCATGCTGGGAACAGCCCCAGAGCCAGAACTGCTGACATGTTTTCTCCGAGCTGGAGAGTGATGGGAGGAGGGATGATGATGATGATGATGAAAGGAGAAGGAGGAGGAAACCCAAACACAGGCCCTGGCTCAGGTCTGTGGGCGCAGTCAGTCCAACACGTGCCGTCACATGCACACAGGATGGAGGAAGAAGCCACGCGCCAAACAGCAGCTGACGCAGATGAAGAAAAGCTAAAAACAGAACGCGACGACAGACGAGGTAAGAACCACGAAGGTGTGAAAATACTTCCCATCAGCCACCTGTGATTCATGGTAACGACCGTATCTGTGGATGATTCGCTTGTGAACGTATCGAACTCAACTCAGCAAGCTCATTCCTTCCCATTGACTTACTGTGTCTGTTCTCTGCCATCTCCATATTATATCAATGATCACATTTCTAATCAATACATTTCAATTCAATGCATTTTCTGTCCCTGCTTCCAGTCAGTGTTCATTCATTCACCTCATTCTACCTTCATGACTGACTCATTAACCTCAGCCTGTCACTATCAGCTGGCATGAATGTCGCCTCATTGTGAGTCTAAGGGTCAATGGTCAATATATTCAGGATTTCATCTTGAGCTGAGACAGTATCAAGATGTCGTCACTGGTGTCACACATGTTTTCTACCAGTTTAACCAGTTAACCACGGCGGCCTAGGGGAGGAGCCACTGGTTGGAACGACGTCTCTCTGACTGACTTCCGGTCCGACCGTATGCAGCCAATGAGACCGCAGTTTCCTGATCACATACGTGAACAGTGGCTTCAGGTCTTCATGCTGTTTCTTTGAAGTGTGACGGCTACAGCAGTAAAGAGTCTGACAGCTGCAGACAACAGGCTTACAACACGCTGCTGGCCAAAGTCAACACCTCACTCCTCCTCCCTCTCTTTCTTCTCCTCCTCCTCCTCACGTCTGCGTTCATAAGACTTGTTTTTTGGCGCGAGCAGCCGAGCGCTCCCACGCCTCGTCCCGTAAAACTTAAACGCTCCCACATCAAATGGCGCAGAGCTGGACGGGCCAGGCTAATTAAGGACGCTGTTATTACAAACATGCTCGCTTGTCGAGGCACAACTCCCACTGCACTCCGCTAATTAGGCTAACGAGGCTAACACCGCCCATTAGGCTAACAAGTAAATGTTATCCTACGTCAAACCAGAAAAACATGTCAATTTTACAAATTAAAACTAAAGGTTCATCTTTCAGGTCTGATTCTCTTAGTTTGTTTAAATCAAGATGTTCAGAACAATCAGGACTGTTGTGTTGATGTGAACGCTGCTTCCAAGTGGGAGGCTAGTAACCATGGTAACTACAATGTGGCCACGAAAGTCGCACTGCAACGTGGCTAATACGTTAGGCTTCCAGATTCACTGGATCCAGTGACAATAGCTCTTTAGAAGTCATAAAGAATAATGGTTTGTTTTCCTGTCGAGAGCGCCACATGTGTCCATTGGTAAAGTATGACACAGAAATTAAAACTGATGCTATTTTTAAGTTTCTCAAAAGAAAACAAAAAGTGAAGATGTATGGATACATGGATCTGATTATTATTATGTTAACACCCAAAAACAAGGTAAATTGTTTCCTGAACTCGTGCAACCAAAGTAAGAAAAAAAGAGACACTCCGAGACATGTAATAAAATGGTGACGTTTCGATCTGAGAGGATCTTGCGTCAGGTTGATGAATCCAGCTTGACGTTCACGTAACAAGTTTCAGAAAAGGAAGCTGCGTTTGGAGAGCGATGAATCCGTCCTGGAGGAGGAATCAGGTCTGTGGGAAATGTCTGTAAACATCTGGGACATCCTCCTTTGCAGCAACGTAAACATTCATAGAGTTTCTACTTCCTCCAGCCCCCCACATCGAGACCCCCGCAGCTTTAGCAGCCAGTAAAAGCAGATAAGCAGCAGTTCGTGTAGATTTATGTTGCTGCTCAGGTTCTTACCGTCCTGCTGCGCATGGTTACTGGAAGCTTCCACAAAATCTGATCCCAGGAACGCCTTGAGAGGCGATACTGCCATCAGCCAATCAGAACAGTGTGGCGGTTACTTCTGTCAGCAGTACAGTGTGATGGTTGTTAGGCGGGACAGGCCGAGGCCCTGAAGAGGAGAGAGGAAAAGAGAGATTAACACCATGTTCTCAAGTGGTTTAGAGACACATGAACAGACAGAAGACTTAAATAAAATAAACACTTGTAATATAACTGAAATAAACAGGCAGGATTTTATTATGAATACTCTGTCAGTCTATAGTGACATTTTTTACAGTGTATCTCAGCTGATAGGCCCAGCTGTTCCCGGGAACAGGAGCTCTTAAACCAATCAAACGTCTCTCTTGCCAACGCGCGGCATTGATCCGGCGTGCCAGAGCCACGCGGCAACTGCATCACACAGGGGTGATGAGCGCTGAAGCCAGAGCAGGAAGAAACCCAGCGCGCTTATATAACCTCCTTCATCTGCTGCTCTTTTTCTTTAAGGGAAACTGTCTC